TAAAATATTTTTATGTTTTCCTTCCGATATATTGGTGATTTTTAATTAGTTTTATTCGGGAACCTACCCTAGACGAGTTGCTTTCTCCTTAGCTTTGAGCCTCATCCGCCCATTTAGGTTTTTTTCGAGTTTCCGTCTTCAGTCGAGTTGCTTTCTCTTCAGCTATGAGCCCCGTCCATGGAGTACCGCCAAGGCCCGAGGATCCATCGTCTCCTTGCTGGTTTTTGGCTCGCCCCGCCTATTTCATTTCACCGGTACCGACCATATCTGGGTAGCGTGAGCTACCAGGAAGCGCTGTCCTGGATCAGGAAGACTGATGTCGGACTAAGCTGGGTTCCTAGACAGAGTAATATCGAAGGAAACGAATTAGCAGATAGACTGGCAGAATTGGGAATGCAAAAGGACCAAGCTGAAATAGACGACTCATAACAACCAACGATCAAACTGTTGAAGGAGTTAGTAGGTAAAACCATGATGCAGCTGCACAGCAGAAGATGGATCAATCGCAATGATTGTCTAACATCACGAGCTCTGTGGCCGTACGTGGATATAGGGAAAACCAAGAACTTATTAAAGCCGGATAAAAGATCGATAAGCACCTTAGTAGAGGCAATTACAGGACACTGTGAAGTCGGAACAAAGCTCCATAAGTGGGACCTCGGGACCGATGAACTATGTCAAGAATGCTTTGGGGAGAATGAAACAATAGAGGACCTACTATGTTACTGCCAAGCCCCGCAGGAGGAACGCCTATTCCACCTGGGGCAGAGTTTCCTGGAGGACCTGGAATAGGTGGGAATGATAGGCACAATGGCAATACTGAGCTTCGAAGAAACCATGCACTAGCACAAAATGAAGAAAGGAGGAATATTTGGAAGGGAACCACACTGAAGAAGGGATCACAATGGGCCAATGAGCCTCCTAGTGCAAGCTCTACAGTTCAAAACCCCTATTCCTCAGTTAAAGGGTTAATATCATAGTAATTGGCTTAGCGTACTTATCGGCCTCTAGCGAGGGGGATTTCAGTAGTGGAACTGTGTACACTAAATTACCACTTCTGATAGAAATTACCACAAATTACCAATAATTTCCTCCAAATTACCACTTTTTTTCTCTATTACCTTTCATTGCCTCAGGAATTACCACTCAATGCCACTCAAATTACCACTTATTACCACTAATTTCCTTTAAATACCACTAATTACCACTCTAATTACCACTCTCATTACCACTAATTGCCACTGAAATTACCACTAAATACCACAAATCTATTTTAATTTTCAAGTATACCTGATATTTAGAACATGTTGCTAAGTAGGTACATGATAATAATAACACTATGTAAATTTTTATACGTCTTTAGGGTATTGAAAAATATAATTGTGTACCTACATTAAAGAGGGGGTGTGACCCTAAAAAACGACTTAAGCTACCTAAATCAAGAAAAAAATTCTAAGATCTCTCGTGAGACCGCAGTCCTATATTCGAAATAGTCTCCGAGAAAATTCCTTATGAAGATCCAGGAACTTGTGATGTCACAACCGCCGAAATCGGAGTCTTCTGTTCGTTCAGTCGTCAGTGAACCGTACCTATACTTTGAGTGGTTTCAATTCGCCCTAAAAGATAATTTCTTTTGTTTTGGGAAAGTTTTATACGTGCTAATACTGTCCCTGATAATCCAGTGTGACATCACAAACACCTATTTGTAACTTTAAACCGTCATAACTCGAAAACGGACCATCGTAGCAAAATGCGGTTTGAATACTTATTCTTAGATTTTTTTGTACTAAAACTTTCATTTTTGGGTCACACCCCCTTTAAGCTGCGTAGGTATTATTGGGGGTATTATTTTAGCGACCTTGCTTCTAAAATAATATGTAATAATTGGGTAGTGGAGAAAACTTCCTAAATATCCTATTTATTACCTTATTTTTCGATACCTATAACAAAGTGGCGACAAGAAAAAAATAGTTATTTACATTACAAGTGCGTTTATGAACATAATTACAATAACGAGTGTGAAAGATTCTAATCACACGAGTTTTGTAGTCATGTTTAAACGCACGTGTGATGTACAACTTTTTATCTACAAAGGGAAAAATAAGATTTTTTTTTTCAACCATTATCCTTTATTAGTCGTTGTATACCTTCATTTTACCTCTACAGGTTTAATTTTGACATTTGTCAAATCACCAAAAATAGTTGTGTTATGAATTCATAACCTTGTCCATAACACCACTAGTTGTGTTATGAATTCATAACCTAGTCCATAACACAACTAGTTGTGTTATGAGCCTCATGACATAACGCAAATACTGGAAAAATAGTTTTGTAAAAACGTCATAGCCAAACGCTTGTAGATAAAAAAAATTATATCAGAGTTCGAAAAAAAATTAGAATAAGTGCATAAAAAAAAAACTTTAGTCATCATTACTTTCTCTAAAAAAACACTTTTTTATTCTTATATTGAAATCAAATCCATGAAAAAACTGTTGTGCAATAAAATCTCACTTGCACCATGAGTTAAACAGAGGTTTAAATTTTAACAAAGGTTTTTTTTTCGTAACTGACTTGCACCGCAAGTTAATCCTTGTTTAAGTAGGTACCTCTAAGCTGCTGTTAAAATAAACCCCCAATTTTGGTGGTTTAAAATCACAGTTAACGATTTTCGGGTCTATAGTGCCGTCCAAATAAAAACGGCTTTTATACAGGGTGTCCCACGACGTTTCTGCCAGGTAATAACTTCGGAACGCGTAATCCAATATAATTGAAAATTTGAGGATCTGGGTAACTTTTTGTGACGCTTCTACCATTTTCGTCCAATTTCACCAGTTTCGCTTCAATTTCGATTTCGATCAAGTGACGTCATCTTTCGAATTTTAAATGTAACTTATGGTATATTATGGCCTTTTTCGTTAGAAAATTAGATTACAAAATCGGCAATGTCATATTTGTTAAGGCTTTGTTAAAGAAAATGATAAAAAATTATACAATGGAACATATGATGATGCGTTCCGAAGTTATCATTTGGGACAAACCTCGTGGAACACCCTGTATATATATATATTTTTTTTTTTGGGAAAAATTCCATCAAACAGAAACGTTTAAGCTATTAATGCGCAAAATGCATATTTTCCATCAGAAAATTTCAATCAAAATTGAACACCTTTCAAAAATCCACTACGAAAATTCCCTACCAATTTGAGACCAAATAAATTGGTTGATATAATTCACAAGAAAGGGAGGCTGCATGACTCCTAACCTCCTTAAGTACCTATTATTGCTTGAAAAACGACCAATAACTTTCAACGTTGTTAGTAAGAACACGAGTACAAACTCCAAGTTATGGGATCTTGAAATTTAAATTATTCTTTGGTCTTCGATTGCTCGCTCCGCTCGCCAAATCTTAAAGAGAAGATCCTTGGAAATGTAAATCTACCAAAAAACGTAAACGATTGGAACCGAGTTCGGAATCAAGTTCAACAGCGACTTCAGAACATTTGGACTTTATTTCGGATTCCATCTAGAAGACGAAAATATGAAAAAATACGAAATTTTACAAGCCTTTGCAGTCAAAATTAATACATACACCTCAAAAGTCTGTAAAGCTCTTCACGAATATTTGCGTATTTGGCTCGGTATTTGGCATCCATCTCGGATAGGTGAAAATCTAGAAAATTGAAACTAGAGAAACAGAGAGACGAGAACACATAAACAGCCAAATATTTGTAGCTATTTGCCGAAGGTGTGATGGAGGCCTAATATAACAAGAATGCATTCTCTCTACTTTTTCTTTCAGATTTCGAAACACTGAAGCACAAAACTGGACCTCAAATGAAACGAGGCCTTGAAAGTTTCAAAATGAGTAGTAAAAACGATGCTCATAGATGATGTCGAACCAAGTGTTGAACTATTGCAAGGTTGCCACTCCTCATGTAATGAAACCTCAAATGAAACATTCCTTAGAAAATAAAAGTTGATGTTTCTAACTGACCAATAGGGACTCAGAAGAATATTTTACTTAAAGCTTAGTTGAATATTTTAGTTGAAGCTCTGTTACTCCTAAATTAAAGCAAATTGAAAGGCATATCATAATTTTATCACTACAGAACTTCGAGTTATTACCACAAAATTTCCTTAAATTACCCCAAAAATTTCCTTAAATTGCCTTAAATTACCAAAAATTTCCCCGAATTACCACTATATTTCCACTAATTACCATATATTTCCACTCAATACCACTATATTTCCCCTAATTTCCAGTCATTACCACTCATTTCCCATAAAATTTCCACTAATTACCACTATTGTGTACACTAAATTACCACAATGAAATCCCCCTCGGCCTCTAGTCTTCAAAGCTTTTGGTATCGTTATTTTATGCAGTATTAAAAATAAAGCCTTATTTAATATTTCAAGTTTATATTGATTGAGGAGCCATGAGTGGAGGGTTGTCTTATTTATCTCATTTTCTAATGTTTTTTATAGCTTCAGTGCAGTACATTTTAAATTCGCCAAGATATGCACGACGCGATAGGTCTTAAGGGGGTCCTTGCTCACACCATTTCCTTGAATGATGATTCGAGTAGGGGTAATATGTCATCAAAACGTGAGGTGAATATAGGAACACCCCAAGGTTTTGTCTTCTCGCCTTTATTATTTATACCTACTTCTTGTAAAGGACTTATGCCTGGAGTAACTGTTAGATTTGCAGATGATTTTGTATTACAATTATCAAACAATTCATCAAAAAAAGAAGTGAATTATGCTTATACACAGCCATTTAGAAGATTTCAAAAAAAATCCTAACGTCGTCATTCATTCAAAAAAAAAAGGAATTTGTTTGTGTCCTAGATCCACAGGGTTCGATTTAATAAGGACGAAAACTACCACACTAAATATAAACTATGTAAAAAATATTACTGATATAATAATATGTAGTCACTTGCACATTCGAATCTATGATTAATTTATACTTAATTTTAATATTTTCTTTCAAGTGGTTGTGAATAATGAAACCCTTCTGAAGCAACTTAACGAAAAATGGGAAGAAACAGCCCCAATTCCATTCTTATACGAACGCAACACCGACAATTCCAAAACTATTAGCAAAGCACTGAAGAAGTTTTACTTTGACGATAAGCCAATTGACAAGTCGAATATGGCTAGCTTAGGACAACTCTACGCTGACTCTATGATCGGTTTTGGTGTTAACAGAGCTGTTAAGCTTATAAGCGAAAGAAATAACGCTTCAACTTACTATTATAAATTTAACTACCAAGGAAGATATAGTCATTATTATACGCCTGATAGTAATGGAACAAAACCATTCGGTAAGTCAAATTAATGCCTAGTATATTAACAAATAAATAAATATTTTTTTTTTGTAGGAGTTGTCCACCATGACGACCTCATTTATCTCTTTTACATTTCCAAACTGTTTCCATTATTCAAAGAGAGTTCACCTAAAGAAGTTGAAATGGTAAATAAGCTAACCATTTTGTACGCAAACTTTGCCAAGTTTGGGTAAGTTGTCACGATTATAAAATTAAAAAACTGGAATTTTACTAAATATTTTATATTGCAGGACACCAATTCCTACTCCAAATGACAGGCTGGACAACGTAAAATGGGAACCTTACAACATCAAAACCCAAAAATACTTGGACATTGGCAACAAATTGACGTTACAAGAAAAGCTTTTCGAAAAACGATACGCTGAATGGGAGAAATTATTTCCCTTGGAGAAATACGACAAAATCAAATAGAAAATGAATATGTTTTTGTAAAGAAACTTATAATAACCCTTGCAATGGATATGGTTTTTGTATGTAGGTATTAAGCGCAATAATAAAAAAAAAAACAAAAAAAAAATAATGTTATGCCTAGGCGATGTTTTCTTCGCTTGACAGGTATTATCTACTAGATTGTAAATATTAATCTGTTTGTATGACGATGTTAAATAAATAAAGAATTATTTTGCTAAGAAATGTTTTCTAAATAATCACACAGATAGCTATCTATGGTTGATGCGGTGAGATGCAGAAATGGACTGCAGAATTTTTATAGACCAGGCAAATTTTAGTTTTTAAATGAAGTTTAAGGGGACAGTTTTTTTTCAATGGAAATCGATGTATTATATGTTATATGTCCAGGAACAAATATATAAAAATCCCAAAAAATCGGAAGTGAGCTAAAAACGCCATCTTGAAAAAACATGGCCGTCCGTTCTAATCTTCAAAAATGAGATATTTTCTTGTCCCTTAAAGCAATTGTAAATTTTTTTTTACTGCGATCATTTCGCGTCCTTGGAAAGATATGTTTTACTTACGTGGGTTAGAGGACAGGACCAAAAAAGAAACTATCAAACTTTCGGCAACATTTTGTAATACTTATATTTTTCCTTTCTCAAACCCTGGAAAGGGGAAATACAGGCACTTAATACAACAATAATTATTTTGTGAGTTGATTACACTTTTTAAGGGAAAAAAAAATACATAAATAAAATAAATTGTTTCTTTCAGTACCTACTTACTTAAACTTTTGTTTCGGGAGTCCGTTCAGGATGGACAGAGGCACTTCTCAGCATATTTTAGGGATCGCAATCAATTTTTCCAAAAAAATCGTTATTTTAAATTTGAATGTTTAGCTAACTGAATTTCACAGCTGATTTTCTGAATTTAAAATAATATAATATTAAATTAAAAAGCTTCAAAATATCTGAACACTAAACTAACAAGCCCAATGTAACTAGTACCAACAAGGAAACCATACAGACAAATTTGAAATTAAAAGGAAGCTAATAATTGTGATTGAAGTCCCCTACAATTAGTTACAAACTAGTTTTGTAGTTTGTGTAGGCAAACATAAAGAATAAAATAAAATAAACTATTATCACAAACAAGGCCTAAAACTTGTTACAAACAATCTTCTTTTTTTATTTTTACGGAATTTTGAACTTGAAAAATTACAAAAATAAATAATATTTATTTTAGGTATAACTAAAAATATAAATTTCTTAAAAAAAAATGGAAAACGAAAAAAAAAATTGTGGATTTTCTTGTGAGTCTAAATTAAACTTTCCAATGCCACTAACTAACTTTATTCTAAAAACTCATTCATTGAACAGATCCTCATCTAGAACACAAGCATATTTGCAGTCTATTCCATGGCAGTGAAGGCAGATAGAACTGCAACGTCCGACTTGTGAACATGTACATTTTTTTGGCAGCCGTTTCTACATTTACAGTAGATCATACTTAATAGTTCTTCTGGTGCAGGTGATTGCTGCATTGTAATTGGAAACATTTCATTTGTTGATACTTTCCATCCAAATTTTTCCGGGGCTAGGAGATTTCCCATCGATTCCTGCACTTGAAGATATGCCCTGAAAATATAGGAGAAATTATTTGCTATCAATGTAATCACCATTTGAAACACTACCTTAAAATATGTTGCTTAAGACCATCTTTGGTTGGGGGAAGAACTGCCAAATCAAAAGATTTGTCGAGCGTCTGCTTAGCTGTACCACTATTGTAAAGCCTATATCTTTCTTCATTAATGCCTCGGGATCCATCTAATCCGTACATGAAGGAGACAAATTCAATACCAACGTTTACTAGTTCATCTGGATCCGCATTCTTATCCCTGAAGACTAGTAATTTGTTATGCATAAATTCATGCTTCTTAAACACCTTAAGAGCTGCCGATTTGCCTTTCTTATAGGGATAAGAAGTCGTATCACAACCACTAATGGCATGAATGAAAAGAAGGCTGTTAACAAGAGGCTGTCCCAAATCTTCACAAACTTTTTTCAAATGGAAAATTTTATCTTCATTGTCGCCGCGACCCACTTTTTTAAAATAAAGATTTGATACCGCACAAAGCAATTAACAAAACGATTAAATCTGTGTCTTCCCCCAATACCACTACCGACCTATTTACTTGTTCTTTTGCCAACCTAATGGCTGTTTTCACATTTAAGGTGTCCGCATCTGCACTAGCTTCCAACGTTGAAATACTTTTTTCTCTAAATCGTTCTCTAAGTAATTGTATTAATTGGAATTTATTTTTCCCATGGGCTAGAAAATCTGCTTGACTTATAGGTATAACTGTGGATTCGCTAAGAATAATTTCAACTGGAATTTTCCTAATCCTTCTACGTCGATGTTCTTCATCTTTTATAGAAGGAATGTTAGTATATCCATCGAACACAATTATCGCATTTTCACCAAAATGTTTTTATAAGTAAGAAATATATGGCATTGCCACTTGTGCAAAAGTATGGAATTTTGGCCTATAGCCCGATATAGCAGCCACCCACCATCAATAACATATGTGATTTCGTTCATGGGATTGCTGCAACTTTCAATTTTTAACAATGGTATTAAACTGGCCTTATTTCCTTCTCTCATTAGGTCATTATAAAACAAAGATGGTGAAGAAGGTGCTAACTCAAAGCAAAAATAGTTTTTCAAGTCTTGATCACTTTTTTTCAGACAAATTATTCTATTAAATAACTTCTGTGAGTTAAGAAGCATGGTATCATCACGCAACTTTACTGCTTTGCTTGCTGATGCTAATGGCTTCCAGAGCTGTCGCAATTACTCTTCTCAAGTAATTGAATTACAATTACCAATTACTCTGGCATAAAAAAATTAATTACAATTACCAATTACTTATAGACTGTTAAAATGTAGTTCATTTACCAACTACCATTGAAAGTAATTGATTATGTATGCAAATACTTTATTTGAATTACTTATTTATTTGAATTAGTCCTTAAGTAATCAAATTACTTTTCAGTAATTGAATTACTCATAGAGTAGTTCAATTATTCAATTTTTCAATTATTTTAATTCAATGGGGTAGTATACAAGGGATTTTTAACTACTGGGTAGTGATATACTCGACGTATCGTACTATTTAGTGCAATCAGTTGCTTTGTAAAAACCGCAATAGCCTGGAATTTTGCTTTTCAAATTTTCTCTTAGCCCCGCCCCTACGTGAAAATAAAAGTTCGTGACGTAGTTAGTTTTTCCAATCTGGCAACACATCATGGCTTTGAGAACGCACAATTTGCACTGACATTGACCGTCAAGAACTAAACGTCAAATTTACTACAAAAAACAAAAAAAAAGTTGATGTGACAATGTCACATGTCACACGATTCACACGACACCACACGTCGTTGAACTGTTGGAGTCAGCTGTCGTTTAGAGGCATTTAGAGCAGCGTTGTCAGATGGTGAGCGGCTCGAATACTATTGGTCGCCGGTTTGGCGCTAAATTCAAATTACAGTTTGTTTTTCTCTGACTAATTCTATAGACACTATGCTAGAATAGTTATTTACATTACAAGTGCGTTTATGACCATGATTACAATAACGAGTGTGAAGGATTAGGACGACGAGGTCGTAGACCGAGTCATTCTAATCACACGAGTTTTGTAGTCATGTTTAAACGCACGTGTGATGTACAACGTTTTATCTACAAAGGAAAGAATAAGAATATTTTTCCAATTTTCGTTCATTAATAATTGTCTACCTTCATTTTACCTTTACAGGTTTACCTTTGACATTTGTCAAATCATCAGAAATAGTTGTGTTATAGACTCATAACCTCGTCCATAACACCACTAGTTGTGTTATGAATTCATAACCTAGTCTATAACACCACTAGTTGTGTTACGAGTCTGATGACGTAACTTAAATACTAGAAAAATGGTTATGTAAAAACGTCATAACCAAACGCTTGTAAAGTGCGTTTTTTTTTTTTAAAGATAAAAGTCAGAATGACATTATTGTTTTGAATGGAACAACCTTTTTCTTAAAAATTGTTAATTCAAAGCTAGGGTGGATCTTACCTTCCTTGGTTTCAATCCAGCAGAGGACTCCATATTTGGCTGAGTTCAATTGAATCAATGGCTTGTAGAGAAATAAATTATAATTTTTCTTTCACGTTGAACTTCAAAAAAAACAACTTATTATTCAATTTATTCTTGACAAATATCAAAGGAAATGATCCTAACTTCTTAACTTTAAGCAATAATAGTTCTAAACTTCTATTACAAAATGTATACATATTCACCTTTCTCACATGCTGCACTATGCAACCAATTTCTTTACTTCAAAATTTGCAACGGGGATTTTTGGGTTGTAGGTGATACTGGGAAACTCTCACAAAACAGTGCTCCTTTTAATCACGGACTAATACTTCATGGGATAGGGCAAATGAGAACTTCTTTAGGTTTCGTGCACTTTGCGCAACTTTCTTTCTTGAGTGGGAGGTTTTGTTTTAATAAAACTGGGACCTTTTTTTACAAACTTATATCTTTTTTTTTTACTACACACCAACCCAACAACGAAAACAACAACGAACCATAGAAACTAGCAAACGAAAAACCGACCAAAAAAACACCGGCAAGGCCCTTCACGCCATGCTCGATTTCTGATCTGAAGCAGAACGTTCTGATACTAGCGCGAACGCCATCTAGTATCAAGACAAAAAATTATGCAATGAAATCTTTCTTTGCGGAGTGTTCCGCAACAATTATGTTGGCAATACAATGTAAAGTCTGTTTTTTTTTTTAAAGATAATTCCCCAAGTCAAAAATTTAGTAACTATGTTGGCAACACAAGCCTTTTCTACATAAAAAAATTGAAAGCATTGACAATTTTACATTGTATTGCCAACACAATGTCATTTTGACTTTTATCTTAAAAAAAAAACACATTTTAAAATTGTCAATGCTTTCAAATTTTTTATGTAGAAAAGGCTTGTGTTACCAACATAGTTACCTGATTGACTTGGGGAATTATCTTTAAAAAAAACGCACTTTAGATAAAATAATTTAGTGTCCCACTATACCATTACCATTTAGCCTATAGAATAATGTCGAGCAGTTTTTTAACTGATTTTCATACATCATATACTACACCCCAAAGGTGGTATAGAATTTAAAGTTTCAATTATTACTTTTCAGTAGTTCAATCAATAAAACTAATTCAATTACCTTCACATTAATTGAATTATTTGTAAGTAATTTAATTACTCTAAAAGTAATTGCATTACCTGAAAATTGTTAAAATCAATTACCCATTACAATTATTTCATCTCAGTAATTTAAAAATCAATTACAATTACTATTTTTTTTCGGTAATTGAATTAAAGTAATTCAATTACGAAAAGTAATTGAAAACAATTTTTCAATTATTTTAATTCAATTACCGACAGCTCTGATGGCTTCACTTCATTTTTCATTTTAAAATGCAGTTCAGAAAAACTTTTATCTACCATATCTTCTACTAGGTCTATTCCTATTTCCTTCGCCATGTGACAGCTAACATTTTCTTCTGCTACAACTCCATTGGTTATGCATGAAAGCTGACTAAAATGGTCTTCAAAAGGATTGTGGTTTTGTAACCATCCCAAAACTTTACCTAAGTCTTTGTTGTCTCAGCCAATTCGCGACTCTCTTAGTTCAATATGTTGTTCAGACTGAACGGAACGAACACCACAAAAAAACTCCAGAGCATCGCATGCTTCGGCGGTGTATGGCATAGTAAGCGTCCATTTTGTTATAGAGCTCTCGGTTACTCCTCTTCCGTGAGTTAGTCCACCCGAGGTCTTCATTGATCTCAATAAATACTGCTCTATGCACATGTCACTCCAAGTATCCGACCATAGTTTTTCGGTGCGATGTATCTATTGTGAAATATCCTATGGCACAAAACTGCTTAAGTTCACTAGGCAGCATACTTTGTTCTAGTTTGTCCATATTTTGTATATAAAGGTGAGCAGACTTTGCGTAATGGAAATGACCTGCAGCGTGAAAAAATGGAAGCATCATGTTTACAGCTGTTACGTGCATTTCCCAATCCCCAGAACGTTCGGCTTTTAGAAGAAGTTTCATTATAGTTACCATTTCGTGGTACTGTATCCATAGTTTCGAGGTATTGTTTTCAAGCTTTAAACTCTCAATGGTAGTATTTAAATTTACATATGCATTTTCTAAAACATATGCGAGCTGACAACGTCATCTAAAGAAACAGTTTTATTTAAGGCATCTTTATGTAAATTAGGTACTCAGGGAAGTTTTGTCAAGATCGTTACATATATCCATTATCAAAATAGTAAGCGCCCAGTGAGTTAGAAAGTGTGCCCTAATGGCTCTTGAATAGGCATGACCTGCTACCATATGAGAAACAGTTACTCTAGCATAGATCTGTGCCCACAAATCTTCCAATCCTGATCCTGTCATAATAAACCCCACAGCACCCATAAAAGACATAAGCAGGTGAAAGCCGCCCAATCTTAAAATTATAGGCATTTCCTCTGCATACACTATTTCTGACGCTTTCTGGAATAGTGGCTGGTCGAACGTAACTATACAAGTCTGTTGGTGATTTTTTCTGGTCTCTGATAATGCAAATTCCAAGGCTGTACATATGGTCGAAGGACCAGTTGGACTTAAGTTTGTGAATGGTAACGCCACTATTTTGGACTTCTCAAATGGTTTGGTCCCTTCTAGAACTAACGACATGACTCCGTTCCAATTCGGGGTACAGCAGTTACTTAGGCAATACCCAGAGGTCCATAAAATGTCTAGTTTTATCGAATCTAGAACATTTGATTTAGTTAAGTCTGTTGCTTCTACCGAAACTTTGGCTACTTTCACCTTTTCGATCCCTGATTTACCTGTTTTATACAATTTAATAGGGATCTGTCCGAAAGAACCTATTTCTTGAGCAGTTAATAGTATATTACATACCGAGTAGGGAAGTGTTTTCTCCGAGGTTTGTATACTATTTTATTTGCAAACACTCCATTGAATATGATTAGACATTTAATTTTATTAATATTAGAAAAATAAAACAAACATGCCAAAATGTGTCATTCACTGATTTGACATTTTTACCTGACATGTTCTCATTGTTTCCAGCAAAGGTAAATAAATTACAGTGAGGGAAATCGGTGAGGGAAGTCGAATAGGAAAATCGGTGAGGGAAATCGAAGAGGGAAGTAACACAGGTAAAGTGTCACTTCCAAATTTTTAAAAAGTCAGTAATGACAAGATTACATATATGATTGCAAATAAACATTTTTTTAGTTTGGGTATAGTGGTGAGGCTCTCCAAACAACTAGAATAAGGGGACAAACATTTTATTCCACCCATTGCGTGAAACGTACCGGAACCATCTAACGTCCTAACATTGTGATCGGCATTATCGAAAACATATTGAGACAATACGTTTTCCTTTCCATTCTATTCGGTATTTTTGCAGCCACAACAGACGACTCATACAAAAGCGTATTAGAGTAACTAACTTCAAATCCCAATTTTTCAATTACCTCAATCAATAGTTTGGAGGCAAATCTTCGGTGCAAGAAAACAGATAATGCAACTTGTAATGGCGAAAGAAAAGAATTCGGACGAATTGATGATATAATAGCGTGGGATATAAACTGCTCGCCAAAAAAAACGGGACAAGCAAGTTTTAGCACAAAATTCAATTTGTAATAAGTTTTTTATTTTATTTTTATTTCTAATGCGGTTTGTGGTATTCGATAGTCCGTGTTGTAGACCACGTGAGACAAGAATATTTTTTTCAAAGAAATGCATTTTTGAAGTTATACAGGGTGAATAATAAATTGATGCAAAAATACAAAAAGTATGGATATCTGCCATATTGACAATAATTTTTTTTTCGGATTTCTGTATATGCCTTTAGTAAGTTGATATCAATATCTCCAGTTGTTTTTGCCAGTTTTTTGATAAGTGCCCTTTGGCAGCAGATACAATATTAAACAACAAAGTTGACAAAATCTTGTGAGCACAATATTTAAAGGGCTGTATCTTGAAAACGGTTGTATTGATTTCGAACATCTTCACAGATTTTGAAAGCCCTTTTTTTTTAGAGGTGCCACGACTCGCTTGCTTTTTTTGCAGATGGCCCTGTTTACATTATACAGGGGTCGAGGAAAAAATACACCTCAAATTAGGCAAATTCTGATAATTGTTCTTTCAACTCTATAGAAATTGATCTGTATGCCTTTTTTTTTCTTTGAAAATTGGTTAGGTGATACTCTGGGCCAATATCTCGGAACACTTTTTTCATTTTTTGTATAACAGTTTTCTGAAGAGCCATTTTAGCACCACAATGTTGGAACGATGTGGCTTACGGTTTATTAGATTGTGAAACGTTTTCCCAAAATGAAAGCTCATTTTATGATAATTAATCGGCTATTTTTGGAAATTTAAATTTTCTCATTATACAGGGGTTGCACAAAAGTAAGAGTGACTTTCCTAAACATTCCCAAATAGTCTAGGAGGCAGTGACGATTTTCGGTACTTATTTTCCCAGTCAGAAAACATAGATAGAATTGTAGGGTTACTAATTCTAAGCAAAATACATATATTTTTAGGGGGGGTTTTCCGATGAGTTGAGGCGCAAAATGTGTTAAAGCTTGCCAATGCATGGTCCTTTTTTTTCTCAGTGATAAAAATAGGTCTACTAATGAGAAGTATACTGAGGTTACGTAAAAAAATAGTCCGACTAATCTGTGTGTATGGATAATATGTCTGGCAAGTGAAAAATTGAAGATCCGAAAATTTTCAGCCAGACTCACTTTCACTATCTGAGATAAGCCAAATTGCTATTTTCATATACTTTATGTTCTATTGTAGTGAATGTGAAATATTTATGTCTCGAAAAATAAGCGTACTTGTATTTTTCATCGATCTTGTGAACCCATCCGAAAATTTTAGCCAGACTCAAAAATTCTTGCTTTGTATCACCAGGAGAACAAACTATTTAATAGATACCAACTGGGAAAATAAGTGCTGACAAAATTTCACTACCTCCTGGACTAAAACGGCTTTAGCTTGAGAACGATTTTGGAAGCTTATTTTATGGAAGTTAACTCTCCTATTTTTTCTAATGGAAAACTTTGCATTATACAAGGAGAATTATTCGGCTATTTTTGGAAATTGAAATGTTCTCATTATACAGGGGTTGCGTGTAAGTAAACCTGAGCTTGACAAAAATTCTCAAACGGCTGTAGCGTGAAAACAATTTTGGAAGATGATTTTATGGAAGTTAACTCTCTTATTTTTTCAATGAAAAATTTAGCATTATACGGGGACTACCGAAAAGTAGACTTAAGTTTGCAAAAAATGCTCGAATGGCTGTAACTTACGAAAACAATGCTATTCAATTACCAACAATAAAAGAAAACCAGAGTATCTGTAGCCAAAGAGCACTAATCAATAAAGTGAAATCACTTTTTCGACGTTTGAACAGCAAGTTTGGAAAATAAGCCAATTCGCATAATTTCAAAACTACTAGTACTAACCATTTTTGGGCAATTTTAATTTTGTTTTTATGCTTGATCTGTGTATACTAAAAGGGTATGTTATGCAAAAAAAGTCACACCAGGTCGTGAAAAATGAGAGAAACTGATGAGTTTCCAAAAGCGTTCTCAAGTTACAGCCGTTCAAGCATTTTTTGCAAAATGAAGTTTATTTTTCGGTAATCCCTGTATAATGCGAAGTTTTCCATTAGAAAAATAAGAGAGTTAACTTCCATAAAATCATCTTCCAAAATTGTTTTCACGCTACAGCCGTTTGAGAATTTTTGTCAAACTCAGGTTTACTTTGACGCAAACCCTGTGTAATGAGAACATTTCAATTTCCAAAAACATCCAAATAATTCTCCCTGTATAATGCAAAGTTTTCCATTAAAAAAATAAGAGAGTTAACTTCCATAAAATAAGCTTCCAAAATCGTTCTCCAGCTAAAGCCATTTGAGAATGTTTAGGAAACTCACTCTCTTTTTTGTGCAACCTCTGTATAATGAGAAAATTTAAATTTCCAAAAATAGCCGATTAATTGTCATAAAATGAGCTTTCATTGTGGGAAAACGTTTCACAATCTAATAAACCGTAAGCCACATTGTTCCAACATTGTGGTGCTAAAATGGCTCTTCAGAAAACTCTTATACAAAAAATGAAAAAAGTGTTCCGAGATATTGGCCCAGAGTATCACCTAACCAATTTTCAAAGAAAACAAAAGGCATAAAGATCAATTTTTATAGAGTTGAAAGAACAATTATCATAATTTGCCTAATTTGAGGTGTATTTTTTCCTCGACCCCTGTATAATGTAAACAGGGCCATCTGCAAAAAAAGCAAGCGAGTCGTGGCATCTCTAAAAAAAATGGGCTTTCAAAATCTGCAAAGATGTTCGAAATCAATACAACCGTTTTCAAAATACAGCCCTTTAAACATTGCGCTCACACGATTTTGTCAACTTTGTTGTTTAATATTGTATCCGCTGCCAAAGGGCACTTATCAAAAAACTGGCAAAAACGTCTGGAGATATTGATGTCAACTTACTAAAGGCCTATACAGAAATCCGAAAAAAAAATTATTGTCAATATGGCAGACATCCATACTTTTTGTATTTCTGCATCAATCTATTATTCACCCTGTATAACTTCAAAAATGCATTTCTTCGAAAAAAATATTCTTGTCCCACGTGGTCTACAACATGGACTATCGAATACCACAAACCGCATTAAAAACAAAAATAAAATAAAAAAGTTATTACAAATTGAATATAGTGCTAAAAATTGCTTGTCCCGTTTTTTTTTGGCGAGCAGTTACTTGTCGCTTTTCTATCCAAGTTTTCGTTTTTAGAGGTTTTCAGAAGACTGTCTAAAAATACCTTTAACGTTTCGGAAACTTGGTGCTTACATTCATCTCGCATATTTTCATCAAAACTAGGATATTTTTCTAGATTGTAAACTTGTCTTTTTATATCGTCTCTTATAATTTGAGCTGCCGCTTCAACAATTCTCAATTTTTCTTGGTAAATATTGTCGCATTTCTCAGTATAAAACTTTTCTGTGAGAATAGTTTCCACAGTGTCTGTTAATGTGATAATAGTATCTTTTGCTTGAACTCCAGTTACTGTTATTTTTTCGCCAAAGTGACGTTGCAGTTTTTCTTTTAACCCATCATCTACGTACATAACTTTCTTTGGTGTCACAAAATTCTTCAAATTTTTCAGCAAGCTTCCCAAGTGAAAATTGACAATCGTCAGAGCTTTCCATATAGCTACACAATTTTAAAAAGGCAGATTGCCTTTCGTCTTTTTCTTGTGAATCTTTGGAAGAGCCTGGAGTATCGCGCACTAAATTCTTATAACAACTTAAATGATATTTCCCTTCTGCAGCAACCAAATCTATTATGTTACTCAAGCGGACTACTATTTGCCTGCCTATATCGTCCATCCTCTTTTCGCATATTTTCACCAATTTTTCTTTCATATTTAGTTCAGAAAAATTCCTTATTTCTTGTCTGTATTGCTTGGTTTTTTTTTTCTCTTTTTCGAGACAAATAGATTCACCACAGATCAGACAATTTGTTTTAAAATCAAAATCTTTTACGCAGAAGATCTCAATGTTTTTTTTATTTTTGCTCTCATCTATGGAAAGTGGTAGATTTTTTTTCATATACTCCTTTCTAACATAATTTTTCCTACAAGATTCATGAACGGTAATATTTGTTGCGTTTTTCAATTCCTCCAAAATCTGGTCCCCTTTTTGTTTACTTGCAAGTAAAATTGACTGAAGTCCCTTTGCCCCTACATTGACAGCTTCACTGGCACACAACACTTTTTTACAAAACACAAAACTTTAATGTTATCCATTTTACGTATAAATATCATTATAATAATTAAGAAAGCCTTTGATAATCCAGTAATGAAACTCGTACTAAACAAAGCAAAAATTCCAAAAACTTGTTTCAGACTGCATGAAAATAGAATATACATGGAGTGAAGAATGGGGGGAAGTGCCAATAAGTCTATGGTACCGATACTAGGTGAGTATATTTAACCGCGCGGCGCGGAATTCAAGCAAACGTGCATAATTTAGAAAATAACGCAAGCGGCTATGTTTTTTTAAATAGTGACTTTAGTTAATTAGCTCACTTCCGATTTTTTGGGATTTTTAGATTTGTATTCTGTGATAAGAGAGCTATCGTTTTCCATAAAAAAAAATAACTGTCCCCAAAAACTTCACTTTCATCGTACATTTTTTAAAAATTGCCTGGTCTATTATAGGCTTAGGTGAAAACAATCGTTCTTTGAATTCTCCATATAGAACTTGCAACCACACGTCTTCGAATCTTGGTTTCTTTCAGAGACTCGAAGGTATGTTTCCGAAACACCAAATGTAATGTCTCAGAGGATGTTGGCTGCCCAAAGCTGTTGTATGAGATGTTTGGGCAACAAGGTGGCGGGAGAAATTAAACCGAGTCCCATGCAGCAAGGTTTGGTCGATACAGCGTTGAAAGTACGATACTTCCCAACGTTGCATTACGTTGTAACAACAGTTGAATCTACGTTGACAGGACGGCACAATGTCATAATTGAGACAACGTTGAATGTGATCTGTTGTGATCCTTCAGTGTTTTGCCTCGGTTAAAACTACTTTTGTTTTTGGTTTGAAACTTGTAGCTTTATTAGGTAATGGAATATAGAATGAAATTGAACTACAGCAAAAGTAAGACTTATTTTAGAGAGAGTTTTAACAAAATGTGTTACTACGACTGAAGCTGTCTTAAGACTGTCTTCTTGCTTCACTAGATCTCTTACAAATCGACCTTTACATCCCTTCTAAAACGTTTCTAAAACCTACATAATTACAACTGGAAAACCCTAAATAAATATTGGCAATAAATGACAGTCTGTTCGCCCAAAGAATGACCATTAAGGATATTTGGGAATTTTGGGGTTTATGGTGGACAAATGTTTAATTTATTTACATACAATATCTTTGGGTTCTTTAACAGAAAGTCTGGGTCATATAATAATATTTCTTTCGGCGACGGCGAGACATTATTTGGGAATTTTGGGGTTTATGGTGGACAAATGTTTAATTTATTTACATACAATATCTTTGGGTTCTTTAACAGAAAGTCTGGGTCATATAATAGTATTTCTTTCGGCGACGGCGAGACATTATTTGGGAAAGTATTCGAGGGTCGTAAAAGGTACAATGTCATGATATTATGGAGGAATATGACACTTCCCCCCTTGAAAAAAAAAGAAATTTTCATAAAGAAATTTCTTCAAAACAAATCCTTTAAGAAATACAATTATAAAAAACTAACGTAAAATAATATGAAGCTTAACTTAATATAAAGGTAGGAATAAAAAGGAAAGAGAGAAAAAAAAAATGTAAACTAACTTATACCTAAGAATATACAAACATATCTTTTGCTAAGACATTTTTATGGACGGTCTTGGGGTGACTGATCTTCGCATGGACATGGAATTCGTAGTGGATGTGGTTGCTTCATTGGAACTTAGAAGGTTATTTAGTTCAATCCCTTCGCCCATTTTTGTTCTGGCTTCTTCTTCTAGAATTCTTGATATGTTTTGACTTGTCCCTGGAGTGGTATTTATATTTGTATTGAAAAGCTTAATACAGCAGGAATGCGATATGTGCTTTGGGCTTTTAGTACAACAAAACATACTTTTAATGCATGATATTAATCCGCACCACTTAAGAAAATTGTACACTATTACCAAAAGAACAACTGACGCGATAAAAGATATAATGATAATGAACCAATGAGAGTGTTGAATAATAAATGGCTTCTTCAATTCTTCATCCAGCAATTGGTCCAGTTGTCCAAGTTTGTGATTCGTAAACTGTAAATCGTCCAATTTGATATTGGAAAGTCTTATTGGTTGTAGTGTGATTGGTGTGTTGTTGAATCTGGCTTCTTTGGCATAGCAGCAATCGTCAAGTGCAATATTGATATCTGAAATTTGTTTTGAAATATTCCGTGTAATGATTCCTGAGCTTTCCAAGATAATATTTTGAGTATAGCCTCTGCATTTGGGTTCCAAACTTAACAGCCCTGTTGATGCAATTTTTATATCTTCGATTGGAAAATTATCACAAGCCAGAGTAAGCTGTAAGGGCGTCGATAGTACGAAAAGCCAAGAGTTGTCGCTCAGTGGATGCCATATCTCGAAGTCTGCTTTGGAAGTAACGGTATGACAGTCAGCCGGGATTTTGGTAGAAAATTATGTAAACAATGCGACTTCGCACTTAGGAGGTTCTTGAATCCTTGTAGCTTGAGTGTTTTGGCAGATGAATTCCTCTTCTGTGATCCTTGTACACTTGGTAAGGTCTTTCATTTGCACATAACTAACCTTACTAATACTTATCAGCAGGTAAGGAAAATCAGGTAGGATATAGGAATGAATATCAGAAAAATTATGAGGTGTTGGAAGTGGCAATAATTTGAACAGACTGTAGGTCATTTCGTCAGTCAATGGAATTTCAATTGCAAAAATAATTATGTTATCAGAATGAAAAACTTTTAGTTTACTGATCTCAAAATATTTGTAAATAGTTGAATAAGATATTGGGAACGGTAATTGAAGTCCGTCTGGCCATTGTTATAGCTGAGATTAATAAATCATATTCTTCGTTCAGATCTTCTAATATTTGTGTGAGTAAGGCAATATGTGAACTGATGATAAGTTTCAGTTTGTTTACGTGAATACGTTTATTGGTATCTGCTGAGAAGGAGTTGAAAATTTTAATATTAGAGTTTAGAGTTTCTTGATTAGATTTAAAATTTCGTAAACTAGAATTAAAATTAGATATCGTACTAGAAATTATGCCAATTTGTTGTTTCATCAAAAGTTGTGTATTTCTATTACTTTGAATTAGAGTTTTTATCGATTTGTCATAAAATTTAGCATCATCGGCATCAGGCATGCCAAATAGCCAATTGAATGCGTAAGAAGCACCATCAAAAATTCCTCTTTTAGTCTTTTTCGTATTAGTACCGATTATTTCGCTGACAACTTCAGATTTTCCGAGCAATTTATTAAACCGAGATTGGACGACTTTTATAGTATCTTTGCATAGAAAATTTTCAGATTCAACAATTTCATTACTATAACATAGATCGAATGACTTTTTCAATATTCCAGAAATAAATTTTATTTTCTTTTCATATCCAGTTACATTAAGATGAGTAAATAGGACAAATTTAGAATTTGAAAGTTTAACTTGGCCAAGATTATTATAATAAAGATCGGCATGATCGTGGAGATTAGTAATGTGATAATTATCGCCTCTAACACAAACGGAAATGGAAGTTAGTACAAGTAGGAACAGTAGATTAGCGTTATTAATCATTGTTGCTTTGATCTGAAACAAAAGGTTTTATCATATTAGTATGATACGTAATAATTTTTTTTCCTATTTGTAGTTGAATATTATTGTTATTGAAAACTTTAGTGACTTTATATGGGCCTTTAAAGTTAGGACTCAGTTTTTTATTTAGACCAGGGGAAATATGTTTATTTACAATGTAAACCATATCTCCTATTTTATAATAATTTTTTTTTATTTTCTTATCGTAATAAGTCTTCGATTTTTCTTTTGATTTCAAGATGTTGTTACGTGCCTGTTCTTGAGTTATGTTAAGTTTGAGTTTTAGGTTGCCTATGTAATCGTCATATGAATATTTAAATTCGGGTCTGCTAGTTATAGAGCTTGGCAAAAATGGTTTGGATCCAAATAATAGTTCATATGGTGTATAGTTAGTAGAAGAGTGAGTATGTGTATTGTAAGCGAACATTGCAAAAGGTATAAATTCGTCCCAGTTGTTTTGTTTGTCGTTAATGTAGTGTTTTAAATAATCTTTCAAAGTAAGGTGTGAACGCTCCAAAGCGCCATTAGATTCAGGGTGGTAGGGTGTGCTTGTGACATGCTTAGTTTTAAATAATTTTACGAGTTCTTTTATTAAATTGGACATAAAATCAGTACCTTGATCAGATAAAATAGTTTTGGGAATACCGAATAAAGTTATAAATTTGCATAATTCATTTGATACTGTTATTGCTTCATGATTCGGTATAGGAATGGCATACGAATATTTCGTTAAATCGTCTTGCATCCTAAGGAGAAATCTAGATCCGTTTTCCATAATTGGAAGAGGTCCAACTATATCAATAGCAAGTTTTTCGAAAGGCTTTTCGCTAGTTGTTGTTATCATCATAGGAGCTTTACTGGGTTTGAAAAATGTTTTGTTTATTTGACAAGAAGGACATTTTTTTATATATTTTTTTATGTCAGTTTTCATGTTCTGCCATTTATAACGTTCTTTTATCCTTTTATATGTTCTTGTAAAACCTGAATGTCCTGCTAGTTTTGAATCGTGATTTTCTTTTAGAATTGCGGAAATTTCCTCTTTTGAACTAATAATAATTTTTTCTGAACTAATAACACAT